GTTGACATAGAATTGAGTGCAGCGACTTTGTTGGTTTGTGTACGACGTCAATTCCTAAAGGTTTGAAGAGTCTTTTAGTGATTTCTGAGATATCCTTTATATATGGTAAGGCGATTTTCTTTGTGTTTTCCTTGGTGGCTTTTGTTTTGGTAGGTTGGCTTGGGGGTATATGTCTCTTGATGAAATTCCGGGGATATCCATTCTTTTGGAAGACGTCCATGAGATACTTTTCTTCAATTTTTCTTAAGGTGGGAGTGCTGCAGTGAGTCCTTGCTCTCTTGAATAGTGTTTGTATGCAGTTCCTTTTGTGTGCTATTGGGTTGTTGCTGTTGTAATTCAGTATTTGGTCTGTGTGAGTTGATTTCCTATAAACTTGAGTTTCTAATTCTCCTGTAGTTGTTCGCCTGACTAAGACGTCCAAAAATGGTATTTTGTTCTCGGATTCCTCTTCTCTTGTGAATTTGATGTCGTTGAAGACGTTGTTTATTAAGTTGTGAGTTTTGTCTAATTCGTTTCTTTTGATTATTACAAATGTGTCGTCGACGTAGCGTATCCAAATCTTGGGTTTGATCTTTGGTAGAATTATGTTTTCGAGTCTTTGCATCACTGCTTCTGCAATCAAACCTGATATTGGCGATCCCATGGGTGTTCCTTTGACTTGTTCATATATTTGGCCGTTGAATTGGAAGTATGTTGTTAGGCATAGATTTATGCATTCCATCCAGCTTGTGTGTTGCATTTTTGATTGTTGTGGAAGTTGTTCGTCGTTGCTAAGTAATTGCTCCATGGTTTCTTTTGCTAGTTTTTGTCCGATAGAGGTATATAATGCTGTCACGTCGAAGGATACCATTATTTCTTGTTCATCTATTTGGATGTCTCTGATTTTCTCTAGGAATTGGATAGCAGAGTTGATGGAGTGATCACAGGATTCCGTTAGGTGTTTTAGTTTTCTGTATAATTCCTTGGACAAATTATATGTTGGAGTTCCTGGGAGTGATACAATTGGTCGTAACGGGATATTTGCCTTGTGTATTTTGGGTCTGCCGTAGAATCGAGGTAGGACTGGTCCATTGGATTTCATTCGCCATTGGTCTTGTTTTGTGATCTGTCCAGTTTTGCTGAGCTTGTTTAAGGTCCTTTGGATGCGGTTGTCCAATGTTTGTATGGGATTTGTTGGGAGTTGTTGATATACATCTTCATCTTTGAGTAGTTCTTCAGCTTTCTTGGTGTATTCTTCTCTGTCCATGACTACTGTTGTTCTTCCTTTGTCGGCTGGTAAAATGACGATGTCCTTCCTATTTTTCAGCTTTTTGAGGGCCTTTAGTTCTTGAGAGTTGAGTTGTGTGTGTTGTCTTTTCTGTTTGACCATTGGTACAATTGTTTGGCGTATCTCTTCCTGTGTTTCCTCGTTCAAGTTTGATGATTTGAGTAATGATTCAAGGGCAGCGAAGAAATCAGTTTTTGAAGCATCTCCGGTGTTGTAGTTTAATCCTTTTTGTAGTAGTTGTTGTTCCATTTTTGATAGTGGTTGTTTTGATAGGTTGACTACGCAGTCTATGGGCGTATTGTCTGGTTGTTGTTTTCTAATCTTGGCTAGCTTGGTTTTGAGGACTCTTCGTCTTTGTTCTCTGTGTTTTCCACTTGACAGTGAAATTGCGGTGATCAGCGTTGACAGGTGTTCTTGGTTGAGGGTTTTCTCTAATTTTGCTTTTTGGACATCTATTATTTGTTGATATTTGTTGATCCGATAATGTGCGTCCGTAATCATTAATTTGACCATTCGTCTTCCACATTGTTCGGCCAATTTCCATCCCATTGGGCAGTTGACTGGTGGCTTGTATCTTACACTGTTTGGTAGGATTGAATGACGAAGGCACTCATGGAGAAAGAATAATTGTTCTCTGGTGGATCCTTGCCTTTTGGCGAAGTCTTCCCACTTTCGAACAGAGAGAAGCGTATCCCGCTCGTAAGATTTAGATATGATAGAGAAGATTTGTAGCTCAGGTGGATAATTTTGATGTGGTTTTGTTCACTGAGCTGGATAGTTAGTTTGCGAAGCTTTCATCACCTTACTGGGTGACATCTTCAATTTGAAGTATGCGCTGAAGATGTCACCCAGTAAGGTGATGAAAGCTTCGCAAACTAACTATCCAGCTCAGAGAACAAAACCACATCAAAATTATCCACCTGAGCTACAAATCTTCTCTATCATATCTAAATCTTACGAGCGGGATACGCTTCTCTCTGTTCGAAAGTGGGAAGACTTCGCCAAAAGGCAAGGATCCACCAGAGAACAATTATTCTTTCTCCATGAGTGCCTTCGTCATTCAATCCTACCAAACAGTGTAAGATACAAGCCACCAGTCAACTGCCCAATGGGATGGAAATTGGCCGAACAATGTGGAAGACGAATGGTCAAATTAATGATTACGGACGCACATTATCGGATCAACAAATATCAACAAATAATAGATGTCCAAAAAGCAAAATTAGAGAAAACCCTCAACCAAGAACACCTGTCAACGCTGATCACCGCAATTTCACTGTCAAGTGGAAAACACAGAGAACAAAGACGAAGAGTCCTCAAAACCAAGCTAGCCAAGATTAGAAAACAACAACCAGACAATACGCCCATAGACTGCGTAGTCAACCTATCAAAACAACCACTATCAAAAATGGAACAACAACTACTACAAAAAGGATTAAACTACAACACCGGAGATGCTTCAAAAACTGATTTCTTCGCTGCCCTTGAATCATTACTCAAATCATCAAACTTGAACGAGGAAACACAGGAAGAGATACGCCAAACAATTGTACCAATGGTCAAACAGAAAAGACAACACACACAACTCAACTCTCAAGAACTAAAGGCCCTCAAAAAGCTGAAAAATAGGAAGGACATCGTCATTTTACCAGCCGACAAAGGAAGAACAACAGTAGTCATGGACAGAGAAGAATACACCAAGAAAGCTGAAGAACTACTCAAAGATGAAGATGTATATCAACAACTCCCAACAAATCCCATACAAACATTGGACAACCGCATCCAAAGGACCTTAAACAAGCTCAGCAAAACTGGACAGATCACAAAACAAGACCAATGGCGAATGAAATCCAATGGACCAGTCCTACCTCGATTCTACGGCAGACCCAAAATACACAAGGCAAATATCCCGTTACGACCAATTGTATCACTCCCAGGAACTCCAACATATAATTTGTCCAAGGAATTATACAGAAAACTAAAACACCTAACGGAATCCTGTGATCACTCCATCAACTCTGCTATCCAATTCCTAGAGAAAATCAGAGACATCCAAATAGATGAACAAGAAATAATGGTATCCTTCGACGTGACAGCATTATATACCTCTATCGGACAAAAACTAGCAAAAGAAACCATGGAGCAATTACTTAGCAACGACGAACAACTTCCACAACAATCAAAAATGCAACACACAAGCTGGATGGAATGCATAAATCTATGCCTAACAACATACTTCCAATTCAACGGCCAAATATATGAACAAGTCAAAGGAACACCCATGGGATCGCCAATATCAGGTTTGATTGCAGAAGCAGTGATGCAAAGACTCGAAAACATAATTCTACCAAAGATCAAACCCAAGATTTGGATACGCTACGTCGACGACACATTTGTAATAATCAAAAGAAACGAATTAGACAAAACTCACAACTTAATAAACAACGTCTTCAACGACATCAAATTCACAAGAGAAGAGGAATCCGAGAACAAAATACCATTTTTGGACGTCTTAGTCAGGCGAACAACTACAGGAGAATTAGAAACTCAAGTTTATAGGAAATCAACTCACACAGACCAAATACTGAATTACAACAGCAACAACCCAATAGCACACAAAAGGAACTGCATACAAACACTATTCAAGAGAGCAAGGACTCACTGCAGCACTCCCACCTTAAGAAAAATTGAAGAAAAGTATCTCATGGACGTCTTCCAAAAGAATGGATATCCCCGGAATTTCATCAAGAGACATATACCCCCAAGCCAACCTACCAAAACAAAAGCCACCAAGGAAAACACAAAGAAAATCGCCTTACCATATATAAAGGATATCTCAGAAATCACTAAAAGACTCTTCAAACCTTTAGGAATTGACGTCGTACACAAACCAACAAAGTCGCTGCACTCAATTCTATGTCAACCAAAAGACTCAACAGCAAAAGAAGACAAAACCAACATCATCTACAAAATAAACTGTAACAACTGTGAAAAACACTACATTGGCCAAAGTGGACGTCCCCTTCGTCTTCGTATCCACGAACATAAGCTAGCCGTCAAAAGACATGATATACACTCCCTCATTTCACTACACACAGACAACCACGGACATCAATTCGACTGGGACAACGTTCAAATATTAGACAAAGGAAATAACAAGAATGCTAGAGAATTTTTAGAAGCTTGGCATTCCAGTGAATCATCAATCAATAGACACATCGAGATAGACAAAATTTATCAACCAATAAGAAAGAAACTTCACACACAATTGGCCAAAGTTCAAGTCACAGAAACAATCAGTTCCAACACAAGTAACCTAGAAGGTGTGAAAACATACATAAACAACCAATCACGTCCAAGGTCACCAGGAGGAATGATTAATAAACTCGTGGAGAAACCTAAAAGCTCACTTCAATTTGAAGTATGCGCTGAAGATGTCACCCAGTAAGGTGATGAAAGCTTCGCAAACTAACTATCCAGCTCAGAGAACAAAACCACATCAAAAAAGAGTAACCAAACTGCTCACCAATAATACAGCAATAATAATACAACAAATAATAAATAATCCAAGGAAATAAATAATCTTATCTAAATAACAGCTTTATCAATAATACTTTGAGAAAGCTGTTAGCAGTAGCATTAAATAGCGAAACGTCAGTAAAAACAGGAATATCGTTTTGTTTTTTCATTCATTGGGAAATACAAAAAAATCCTTTATTATAATGAATCTTACCTGAAATCTAAAAGGAATTCCTTTCTCTCCACCATGTTTCTTAGCAGTGAATTCTGTACTAACACAATTAAATCGTAAACCAATATTACATGTGGGATATTTCCAAATGCACAGTATCACATCGGATGATAATTTCTCCATATCTAACTCTTCATAATCACTGGATTTACCATAATCTGTTTTTTTAATAAGATGAAAGTTATTCAGGAAAAGAAGTGGGAGAAATAAAAAAGGCATGTTTAAGAATTGAAAAACATTCAGTTAGCTAGGGGGATTTAGACGAATTGTTGAATTAACTCATGAGTTTTAGGATTAGGGAGTAACTCTGTACAGAATCATATATGTCTTACACATGCGGGGAAGTAAAATCGCGACCAGCTTGCATTTTTAGACATACTTTTCTGAGTCGAAGAGATGATGGTTCAAATAAGACGATCAATCTACAGAAAGCCTAATTGGAAAGGGCAATACCTTAATTTTCACAGTTTCTATCTCTTTCAGTATAAGGGAGACTTGGAGAAATGTCTATTTAGGAGGATTTAACGTAATTGCACAGCTGATGTTATAGACAAAGAAAATGAAATATTGATGGATAGATACTCTTGTTGAAAACGGATATCCTCTAAAAATTTTAAACAGGTGTAGAAGTCGATCTATACCGCCCCTAAGAAAAATGTCTTCATCAAAATTACCATATAACGGGGAGATAAACAGTAGGATTTTGAAACAAAGGTTGAATTCGGTCATCCATAGAATTTATTATGCAGCCCAGCTTGTTATTAGTGAAAAAGCCAAAAATATACTGCACTGCAAACCTCAAAGCTGCACAAGTGATTATGTCACATTCCATACTATTTACCAATTTTCGTGTGTGTGGACACATACATTGGGATGAGTAATCATGCTTTGCATATGAGGGCAGGAGAGCATGTGGTGAGAGCAGGCTGCTAGCTAATTGGTCGACATTAATCTAAGTCAATGCCTAGGTCACTAATATGGGCCTCAATCGTCGCGCCACGACATGATAGAAGAATGTCACCAGCTAGCGTATACAGGCGTGGCCAGAACAACCGACCTCTTAAGACAAAGCATGTACTGGCCAGGTATGAGTGAAGACGTAGCAAGATACGTACTTGGATGTCCACGGTGCCAGTTGATGAAAGGTGACCGGTGTATACGACCACCACTTCAGTCGATTCCAGTTACCGCGATAGGTGACTTGTGGTCCGTAGATGTCATCGGTCCTTTTCCTCAGTCATCCAATGGTAACCAGTACCTCTTGGTGATGACGGAACACGCGACACGATGGGTAAACGCCGTAGCAATCCCAGACCAACGTGCAAGGACTGTGACAGATGCAGTAGTTAGACACATCGTTGCAGACCACGGCGTACCAAAAACAATACTGACAGACCAAGGTCCCTGTTTCGAGAGTGAAGAATTTACTTCCCGTTTGCAACAGCTGGGCATCAAGAGGATCAGAATGACCCCATATCATCCGCAAACGAACGGCCTAACGGAAAGAAACAACCGTACACTGAAGGAGTGGCTGGCCTCGAAGGGCGGTAACTGGGAAACGGAGCTTCCATTGATTTTACTAACAGATCGTGCTACCACTCAGGAAACAACGAAGAAGTCACCCTTCCAACTGATGTATGGTAGAAAACCACGATTACCGATACACAACGAGACCTGGCCCCTTCACTAAAAATGGAGTACGACGAAATTAAAAGCAGAGCGGAAAGAAGCAGCCAAGAATGAAATGCAGAAGCAGCGGAGTGATGTCGCGAAGTCTCAGCTGAAAAGAAAGACTCAGTGCAATACCTTTGCAGTCGGGGACCAAGTGAAGTGTAGAGACAGAAGATATACAGTTGGATGCGGGCCAGGTTCACGGAAACTCCTTCCAAAGTGGGAAGGACCGTACACAATTACAAAAAGACGGGGTCAAGTATATACCATCCGAAGAGGTGATAAACAGAAACGAGTTAACGCCAGTCAGCTCCAAAGATGGGTACAATGGGACAAGCCGGTCAGTAACAATCCTCAACTAGGGGATGTAGCACCCAGAAGGTCGGAACGTCTGCACACGAAGCTATTTGACGGGGGACGAGTGTGGTGAGAGCGGGCTGCTAGCTAATTGGTCGACATTAATCTAAGTCAATGCCTAGGTCACTAATATGGGCCGTGAGAAAATATGAACAAGGCTGATTCAACAACCAATCACAGCAGACTTAAACGTGGGCAAATATGATTCGCAGATAGATGGCTCCACTTTCCGAGAAACTCAAAAACAACCAATCAGAAGACTGCGTTCGTCTACTTGAATAAGCTCTAATAATGTGCACAAAATATATATACATACGTGCTGAATTCCGTAATAAAATGATCTGTTGCCAGCCCTTGTCTTCTGTTGTTACAAGCATATCCCGAAATGGTTAGAAAAACAAATGAAATGTGGAAAAAAATAGACGCAGGCGTCATACTGCCAACGTCGTGTATAGCTAAACACCTAATCGAGATGAACCACAAGACTGATGGTAACTCAGCCTTTAAGGTCATCTATAAAAATGGATCACTTCAAAGGACTCTTAAACCGACCACTACCTGCAACCCGTCCAGAAATACCAACAACAGCGCGCACACAACTGCAAGTTGACACTAATCCTCCAGCGAGAGCTGAAGTCTTGAATGCAATCAAGCTTCTGAAAGCTGCAAAAGCAGCTGGACCAGATGGAATACCCCCTGAAGCATTAAAAGCGGAACCAGAGACGAAAGTAGACATGCTGTCTCCATTATTGCGAAAGGTCTGGAAGGAGGGAAAGGTGCCTACTGACTGGAGGAAAGGTCACCTCGTGAAACTACCAAAGAAGGGAGACTTAGGACTCTGCAAGAACTTGCGAGGAATCATGTTCCTATCGACGCCAAGTAAAATCCTGAGTCGCATCATCCTGGAGAGAATAAAAGACGCACTGGATACAGAACTCCAACCAGGACAAGCTGGATTCAGGAAAGGCAAATCATGTTCTGACCGAATTGCAACTCTACACATCATCATCACAGAACAAAGCATGGAATGGCAATCAAACCTCCACCTTAACTTTATAGACTTTGAGAAGGTCTTCGACAGCCTTGACCGCGAAGTAATTTGGAAACTATTCGAGTACTAAGGCGTCACACACACACAAAATCGAAGACTTTCAAGCGAAAACAGGCAAACTGGTTGAAGAGGCAGCTGGCGAAGACAGTACTCCAAGTGAACATAGACAAGACGGAGGTTGCGAAAATAGCCAACCAACCAACAACAGCAACATCCAGTGCCAATCACCATCAACGGGAAAGATTTGAAAGAGGTTACTTCACTTACTTATCTAGGGAGGGAGCATTGTCTCAACCACAGGCAGTCGGAACGGACGAGGATGTCAAATCAAGCGAGAATCGGGAAGGCGAGAAACACATTCGTAAACCTGAAACCAATCTGGAAATCTTCGTCACTCAGCATCAACAACAAAATTCAGTCGAATTTTCAATACAAACGTCAAGTCAGTCAGTTCTTCTATACGGATCAGAAACTTGGCGGGTAGGTCACAAAGAATATTTCAAGCAGCCTGTTGCATACATTTATCAACAACTGTCTCCGCTCTATACTGAAGATCAGATGGCCGGACAGAATTATCAACAAGAAACTATGAGAAGAGACAAAACAAAAACCAACCGTCCAGCAAATATGCAAGAAAAAGTGGGGATGGATCGGACATTCGCTGAGTAAACCGCTGGGTAACATCGCGCGTCAGGCCCTCGAGTGGAGCCCGAAAGGGAAGCAGCGAGTGGGACGTCCAAGGGTGATATGGAGGAGATCGTGTGAAGAGATGTTGAAGCAGTCAGCATGGACCAACATGGATGCAGGTGAAAAGTACAGCAGAAGACAGAAGCAAGTGGAGACGTGCAGTTGAAGCCCTATGTTCCATTAGGTGAGGGCTTACAGCGAGCTGTCATCCGAACTGATGACGACTAGCGGTGTCCGTCAAGGATGCCCACTATCCCCTTTTCTATTCAACTTCATCATAGATGTGTTAATGGACTTAACCCTAAGTGACTTCAGCGACTCAGGGATTGACTTGCTACCGGGGAATAATCTCGTTGACTTAGAATATGCAGACGATATAGTCCTCCTAGGCGACGACTCTGACAAAATACAGAGTCTTCTAAACACCTTGAGCCGCAATCTACGAATGTTTGGCATGCGATTCGCTCCCGCCAAATGCAAGATGATGTTACAGGACTGGACTACATCGACGCCTAGTTTAAAAATAGGAAGTGAAGTGGTAGAGCACGTTGACCGCCTCACTTATTTGGGAAGTACCATCAGCCAGTGCCAACGGGCTGATCTCTGACGAAATCTCAGCACGAATACAGGAGGCTCGTTTGGCATTTGCCAGTTTACGCTCTCTCTGGCATAGACGAGATATCCGACTATCGACCAAAGGGCGGGTGTACTGCTCATCAGTCCGCTCCGTCCTCCTTTATGGCTGGCTGTGAGACCTGGCCACTGAGAGTGGAAGACATGAAAAGACTAGCTGTCTTTGATCATAGGTGCCTGCGCTCTATTTCCCGTGTAAAGTGGCATAATAAGGTGAGCAACATTAAAGTTAGGCGTCGAGTTCTAGGTAAACTGGGGAAATCAATCGACGAAGTCGTGAAATTACAAAGACTCAGATGGTTAGGACATGTGTTACGTATGCCAAGTCATCGCCTCCCTCGACGAGCAATGTTAGCGGATATAGGGTCAGGCTGGAAAAAAGCTAGCGGCGGTCAAACAAAAACTTGGCTTTACCAGTCAATGAAATCCACAACAGTTGGTCTAAGCCAGTCATGTAGGAAGGTGTAGACTTCCTGACTGGTTGGGGTCCTCGGGACGGTAAAAATCTATGGTTGGAAACAATTGGTGACATGGCTCAAAATCGTTCTCAGTGGCTGGTGCAGATGCATCCACTCCTTGTGACTTATGATTTCAAATGAAACTGTTTTGTTCTTCGTTATTACTCCTCCTTTGTCTCACATCTCTGTTTACTGTCTCTATTATGCTTTTCTTGTACTTTCTTCTCTTGCTTCGCGTGCTACACGGAGTGTGGCGACTTGTACTTCCACACATTTGCGCAAAGTTCTATGTCGAAAACAGACAGATAGACAGACCTATGTTCCACTAGGAACTCAAGGGAGCAATAATAATAATAATGGTCAAGGGTGCTTATTGGAATATGCTGAGGCTATAGCTATTCATAAACTTAAGCCCGCCTGTGTATTCAAAAACAATTTATCATTACTATTAAACTACCTTGGTAATCCTTATTTGTCTATCGTTGGTTTGTAAGGATTAGCTTTGTTTTTACGAGTTTATCACGGACTGATGCCAGTTAGAGAACCATTGAAAACCAGTATTGGAGTACTGGACAGCTGCTTCATCCTAGTTTGGGAATCATCGGCATTACGCACCCACTAAGGTTCGAACCCAGGACCAATGCTAATTTGATTGGATTACCAAACGTTGTGTTAATCATTCTTAAATCCTTTTTTACTCAATTTGTTTAAATTAATTTCCCTTAATTTTTTTTCATATATATCGACTTGACAAGTAAATGTGTGATCAGCTTATTCGAAATGTATAGCGCAAATACATCACATTTTTCAGATAATCTCCGTCTTCTAATAACACTATCCAAATTTACAAAAGGGACTAACTTTTATTAAAGTAAATTCTGAACTGGTCTCTGATAATATGTCAAAATCGATATTGACTGGACTACTTACTTCAAAAAGCTTTGATAACAGTGAGATATCTGACCAGCACCTTTAAACTATTTAACTTTACAGTTAGTGAATGTCATAGACAGAATAAACAAGGATCACGGCTCCTATAACTATACTTCTATAACTTCGTCCCACTGATCACATGTACTCCAACAAAATGTTTAGTTATCATGACATTTAGTGTAGTGTGTAATATATACCCTAGACATCTCACCTCGCATCCCCCTCTTTCTCTCTCTCTCTCCTTAACTAAAATACGACGACGCCTCACCATCTAAATATTACTGGACTAATTTTACCATTTATCATAAGAGACAAAACACAGACACCTATTATCAAAGATAACTAGGCAGGCCCCTTTAACGTCCTCCACTTGCACTGGCCACATCTCAAAACCACAAAGGAGGGTCGAGTGAACTACCGCTGAGCAGTTCATGAATTGATAAACGCCACATGGAAACTTTTATATCCGTGCTTAGATTTTGTCGGCAATCAGCCCATTGACGCTGATGAAGCCTTTCATATAAGTGAAGCGGTGGTCATTACGCTCTATCACTTCACTCCCAATCTTCAAGTTAGGATTCGACGTAGTCCAGTCCAGTAGTATCATTTTATACATTTTGACAGGAGTAATTCGCATACCAAACACTCAAAGATTGATGCTCAAGGTGTTCGTTCAGCTTCTACACCTAGGAGGACTAAATCATCCGCATGCTCTAAGTCAACGAGATTATACCCTGATAACAAATGAATACCCAAGTCGCTGAAGTCAATTAGTGTTAATTCCACCACTAAGTGTATCCTGAGATTAAACAGATATGAGGAGAGTCAGCACCCCCAACGGACATTACTGGTTGTCATCACTCCACATAACTCTCCGTAGGCTCTCACATAGCGACGTAAGCTTAAGCAGAGTGCATTGATGGGTCAGACATACTCTAAGGAGACTGTTGAATGGGGAATAATGAGTTCACTGTTAATCTGAGGGGTGACTTGAAGGAGATTGTATGAGTAGGAGAGAGAAGTTTATGACTGATGGCGGAACAAGTTACAACAGACTTCAAAGAACAGAATCAAATGGAAATGGACAGCTGGAGCAAATAAAATAGACAAAAAAAGTTTTACCTATATCTAGAAGATTTTCACCCTGATGTATCTGTCGCCATCCATTCCAATATTCACGTTCTTTCAATTCCATTTGCTTATCATGAAATGTAACTCGAATATACGTCTACGCAGAAAGAAAGAAGAAAAGAAAGGGAGGAATATTGAAATCGAATATGCACACGTGTAACATAAAAACAAACTAAATAGTACAAGACACTCCGTAAAATCTTGAAGATTATCTACTCCTTTAATTGGTGGATGGTGGCTAGCATTGGAATCCAGGATAACGCGTATTACGTCCTGTTTGGGACTCGTCATTTCGATACACCTGCATTTGGCAGTGAGTGAGCGATGATGTTCCCACCAAGGCTGGAACCCAGTGCCCATAATTTCAACTATCCACTAGACCAATTAGGTCACGACAACTAGCCACCTCTTGTGCAACGGGTTATATCAATTATTTAATTGAATTTTTAGATTTTCCCATCGATTGATTCGACCGAAGTGCTCGATCTCAGTTTAATATGTCGGCCCCTTGTATAGATGCTTCGATGATTTTTGGGTGACTCTGGTGGCTCAAGTGGTCTAGTGGATAACACTTTGGCGTTTGAAACTATGGGCACTGCTTGGGAACATCATGACTCACTAGAGAATGCACGTACGTTCAGATGATGAGCCGCAGGTAGGACGAAATGCACGCTGTCCTGGATTCCACTGCTAGTCACCATCCACAAATTAAATTCTAATTAAATGCCCAGACATCGCTGAAGCATTTGCACAAGAAGCCGACATGTCAACCTGAGACCGAGCACTTCGGTTCAATCAATTGACGGGAGAATCTAAAATTCAATTAAATAATTATCTATCCCTTTCTCTCGTGGAAGCTGCATTGAATACGATGTATAGGTGAAACTTGAGGAGATCTGACTAAAACAAAATCCCCAGTTTGACGACTGTCAGAACAGTGAAAGTCTGTACAATACAAACTGAAAATATTTATCACAACATATTAACATTATCTCCGCTACCAGAGACATTTGTATTGTATACCAATACAGTTACAAAAGACAAAGTCAATATCAATTAAACCATATCATTTAGAGAACCATTGGACAATCAGGGAGTACTGGATAGATAATTCATGCTAGTTTGGAACTCATAGGCAGTACGCATCCACTGGGATTTGAGCTTGCCTTATACCCGGAAGGTCCTGGTTTCGAACCCTGGAGGTGGGCATGTACTGGTAATGCATCCCAAACTAGGACGAGTTAACTGTTCAGTACTCTCCTGCTGGTTTTTCAGTGATTCTCTAGCTGATTGATATCAATCCGTAGTTAAACTTGAAACAAATCAAATCCCTAAGAACCAACTCTTGAAACTTAAATCATACCCAAGTTATTTGTCGTCATGCTTTTGATTTCCTGTTGATATATCTAAACAAATTTATCAGCCTCATTTTTGGCATATAAGTTCCTTGAGTGGACGCCTCAACATTACTAGGGCTAATAACTCAAAGTCACTAATCGTAGTGATGACTAGAATTTGGATTGAAGATGGGACTTATCATCCGAATGTACCTGCACTCCCTGGGGACTGCTGGTGCTTCCACTGAGACTTAAACCTACTACCCATTACTTCAAACGCCAAAACGCCATTTCCTCCAGATGACAAGTCTCAATTAGGAGGAAACACGCACCATGAAAACTACTCATTGTCTGTCTGTTTTCGACATAGAACTTTGCACAAATGTGCGGAAGTTCAAGTCGCCACACTCCGTGTAGCACGCGAAGCAAGAGAAGAAAGTACAAGAAAAGCGTAATAGAAACAGTGAGCAGAGGTGTGAGACAAAGGAGTAATAAAGAAATACAAAACAGTTTCATTGGAGATCATAAGTCACAAGGAGTGGATGCATCTGCACCAGCCACTGAGAACGATTTTGAGCCATGTCACCAATTGTTTCCAACCATAGATTTTTACCGTCCCGAGGACCCCAGCCTGGAATTCTACACCTTCCTACGTGGCTAAGACCAACTGTTGTGGATTTTATTGACTGATGCCAAGTTTTTGTTTGACCGCCGCTAGCTTTTTTCCAGTCTGACCCTATATCCGCTAACATTGCTCGTCGAGGGAGGCGATGGCTTGGCATACGTAACACATGTCCTAACCATCTCAGTCTTTGTAGCTTCACGACTTCGTCGATTGATTTCCCCTGTTTACCTAGAACTCGACGCCTAACCTCAATATTGCTCACCTTATTATGCCACTTTACACGGGAAATAGATCGCAGGCACCTATGATCAAAGACAGCTAGTCTTTTCATGTCTTCCACTCTCAGTGGCCAAGTCTCACAACCATAAAGGAGGACGGAGCGGACTGATGAGCAGTACACCCGCCCTTTGGTCGATAGTCGGATATCTCGTCTACGCCACAGTCGGCGTAAACTAACACATGCGAAACTCATTGCCACCATGGAAGAAGTAAAAAAAATCCAATTAAGGATATGTGAAGTCCGCAACAGTTGGTTTGATCAGTGTACGGGATCATAGACCACCTACCTAGATGAGGTTCGCACCATTGACTACAGTAATGTATAGTTTAACGACTCTGGATAATACTACTGAGGAGTGATTGAAGAAGTATGAGCGGATGCATACCTTTCATATTTCCTCACTTATCTTTTCTAGCTTTATCTTATAGTGTGACGTGTGCTACTGACAAGACTCACCAGTAGTATGCGAAAAGACGCTCATCAGCACAAAAATGATATCAAACAGCGAAGAGATAGATTTGACGGCAAGGGGAGTATATGAAATAGTATTGCAGCAAAACATGGGTGACACGAGAAAAAACAACAACGAAACACAACACGAAGGAACGGTAGAAGTAGCACACAACACGGAAGATCTGTGCAAATGACAATCTTGGCATAAGGTGAACATAATTTCTCTATGTCTATATCAAATTCCTAATAAACATTCCATCATCAAGTCTCTTTTCTTCTCCCGTTGCAATAGTAATTTATTCAATTATATTCCCTTTATTCCCCTGATATCATAAGTGTGAGGCATAACAACCTAAACAACTAAAAACTGATAATATTGTCTATTCTGATGTCAGTCTGATGGATTTTTTTTCCATTCCTTCGCGTTCCCAGTGGAACATAGAACTTTAAGCTAGAGCCTTGAAGTTGCTGTAGCAGTTGTGATTATTTTTACGAGATGGAGTTGCTAGCCTCATGCCCAACCTTCCCTCTACACCAGTCTTACTACTAGCTTAGCAAGGTAAAGGAGTGCGTCCGTGGCTGGGGATCGAACCTCGGATCACGTGCGTGGTTGGCAAACATTTTACTACTGTGCCACCGACGCATAGCCTGACTGAGACTATACCTAAAACACGTAACACAGATTAGTAAGTCAGGATTTAATGAATTCATCCGGTTTCGGTAGAACTCTTCAGCTGAATACTCTACATATACAACGATACATGTAAAACGACAGGCATGAATGTTTTACAGGTCAAGCTCGGATAGATAAAGAGGTGGAAGGTGACATCAGAGATTAAAAATTAGGATTAGCATTGCTTGAGGTTCGGTTACATCACTATAATAAACAAATAGTTATCACAGAAAGAACTTGAATATATGAAGAATTGCGAAATGAATAACATTGGTAATAATAGTAATGGTAACGATAAAAATGTTAAAATGAGTTAAGACAATGGAATTGATAAAGGATAGTTTTAAGTGAATCAAGAAGAGTAATAATAAGAGGTAGAACAAAATATTAGTAACAATAACAATTAATAAATAAAACATATAACCACGATAGATTCCGAATAACTAGCATTTCCTTTTTGTACACAGACACCGGGGTTTATAAATCCGAATTGCACAAGCCTTCATAAATGTAAGCATCCTCCTGTTTGTTTGTCTGCTGACAACATTGCGAATGCCTTGACAGCGTTAATATTACGTTCATTGGTTTACCAGATTCTTTGTTATTGAACATTTTGGCGCCTCAGCTGCATCTGTTTTCAACCACTTTGGCAAATGTTCCATCATCCGTACAACCTTTATATTCACCTACACAAACACACTCAAAACTGATGTATGCGCAACTTTAATTGCCAAGGATTGGCAACCGATTTTTTCCAGATTGTTGAAGCATCCAATTAATGGTGTTAGGGAACACGAATTTTGCAGCATAATAAATTCTCCTGATAGTTTTATCAAGTCTTCGTTTGACTGCTTCTTGTGCACCAACTCCTTTAAATGGCAAATTTGGTATAAACAGCTTTCTATGAATCTGGATAGTTTTTACTGGGGGCTTATTTCTTTAGAGTGTTTATTTATTGATAAGACCATATCGATAAGTGCTGAATACCCAGTTATAATGTGCTTTATATTGATTAACCGCCAGGAGGTATCCAATGTCATATGTCTATTTGTAGGTTGTGCTAAATACTACCGATCAAGCTTGTAATATGGTAACACAGAGCTAGATGACTAACCTTCAACTCATGTTGTGGTGAGCGCATGCTGCTAGCCAATAGGTAGACATTAATTTACGTCAGTGTCTATGTCGCTAGTAATGGCCGTGAAAAAATATGAACAGGGCTGATTCAACAACCAATCACAGCAGACTTAACGTGGGCAAATAAGATTCGCAGATATATTGCTTAACTTTCTGAGAAACCAGCCACAAGCAGTACAGAATAACCTTGAGCAAGAAACAACCAATCAGAAGACTGTGTTTGTCTACTTGAATAAACTATAATAATGTACATGAAATATATATAAATACGTGCTGATTTACTTAATAAACGATCTCTTGCCTGGCCCTTGTCTTCTGTTGTTACAATGTGCCTCAATAGCTTAGTGGTGACATCTCTGACTGCAGTACTCGGTAATGTGACTTCGGAACTCACACGAGGGATGCTATGCTCACAAATGCCAACAAGCATGACACCTAGAATGAAGGCTTCTTATCGATAGCCTTTAACTACCTAAAACGCCATTGTAAAACTCTTCACAAGGCTCAAAACAGCACACAAAAAGAGAGAGAGAGAGAGGAAATCAAATTCAATGAGAGATAGAGAAAGAGATGGAAGAAGGAATAATACAATACAGGGCTTTTTTTCCTTCACGTTTCCAGTGGAACATAGGGCTTCAAGTTAGAGCTTTGAAGTTCCTGTAGCAGTAACGTTTATTTGTTTTCACGGGATGGGGTTGCTAGCCTCATGCCCAACGTTCCCCCTTTACCAGTCTTATTACTGGTTTAGCGAGGTAAAGGAGTGCGTCCAAGGCCGGGGATCGAACCCCGGACCATGTGCATGGTCAGCGAGCGTCCTAACCATTGTGCCACCGACACTTAATGCAGGGCAGTGAATATTTTCTCAATCTGAAACTTTAAGGCACATTTAACCGAAGTAAATTGGTTGATGGTGACTAAGAGAGAGTGGAATCCAGGATGTGCATTTCCTCCTATTCGGGACTCGTCAACTGGATACATCTACACTTCCCAGTGAGTGAGTGAATCATGGGGTTCCCATTGGAGCTCGGACCTGGCACCCATAGTTCCAGACGTCAAAGAGTTATCCACTAGACAATTGGGTTCACGAGAGCCACCTCTTGTGCAACGCGTGTTACTAATTATTTATTTCAAGTTAACTAATCAGACACTGTCGAAGCATCTGCACAAGGAGCCGAAATGTCAACCTGAAGCCGGACACTTCTATCTTATAAATCAAAAGGAAATTCCAAATTGCAGATTTAACCATGTTTACGAAAGATAAGAAGTGATATCAACGCGTAACCAGACTTGAAACGAATCAATTCTCGACAAAATAAACCCTTGAAAAAAAGAAACTATAAAATACAACCCCACTAAACAAAACAAGACAAAAAAAGTCAAATAAAATACACCCACTGAATTACCTTGATAAATGTTATTTCTGGGGTTTTTAAATTCAATTTCAGTTCATATGTTTGTCCTGTAAATAAAGAGAAAGTAAATCCAATAGCAGCAATGTGGTCAAAATTGATTGGTGACGTTAAAAATGTCAACAATAGTGAATCAATACTAACTAAACGACCATTAATTTGTTTTCTAATTGTTTTTTTTTTGTGTATTGGTTAACAGCCTGACCACACACGTGGTGGTCCGGAGTTCGCCCGCGCCCACCGATCGAAGCACTTCTACATCCCACTTAGCAAGTAGTAAACCAGGTGAAGTGGAAAGGTTGAGCTGGTGGCTAGCAAACACCTCCGCCCCCCCCACCCGGTAAAAACAAAAACACCGCCTATAATTTAATTTACCCTCATTAGAGATCAGAGTGACCCATCCACTCGTCAAATCGTTAACCGCCCATAAATTCCAACTTCTACCAATTCATGACATATATATGCAGCGCAACACCTGAATGGTCTACGAGTTCACCTCGTAACCGGAAGGCTATGGGTTCAAACCTCAGTGAGTGTGTACTGTTGAACAGTCCAAAACTAGGATGGAACAGGTGTCCAGTACTCCCTACAGGTTTTCCAGTGGTTCTCTAACACTGATGTCAACTCGTGATCAAACCGGTATCCAATCAAATCCCAACAAGCTAACACTTGATAGAATCACTATTAGCTCATCATATTTATTTCAGAACCAATAACAACAATGACGATAATAACAATAATTATAATAGATATGTAGCTGTTTGACATCAATTACGCGGAACCGGTCCTCCACATGTATGCACCAGGCGGATAGGCGTAGTTATCGTTTGAAGGCCGATAATAATATCTGGTTATCTAGGTTGGAGTAGGCAAAGCAGGACTCCAGTCTGTGACAGTTGGATGCAAACCAACCTCTTTAGCCAATGAGCCATAGTCCCCACTTAACTAAAGGGAAGCAAGATGTTATTGCTGATCGCTATTTAATATAGAGCTTAAAAGCGACAGTATATCAGAGGAAACAAACATATTGCTACTGATTTTGACTTTTTTCGCTAAACTGTTGTTCACTCACTCCACACACACACACACACACATACACACACTAGCTGCTACTAAGATAATTCTAAGAAATGTATTATACTCTATGAACGCCTAGTTTACACATTCCTATATAACAAAAGTTGAACATAACGCTTAATTTACGACGGTTGCTACATATACAGCCAAATCATAAAATTTGGGTGGTTGCAGGTTAAAAAGAGAAACGCTAGTAAACATGTATTAAAGGACGAAAACGAGATTTAAAAATCAGATGCATCAAATAAAACCTTCTGGAGGACTGTAAACGTATCGATCTGTTGAGGCATCCGATGCACAGACCACTGCACAGTGAAGTGGTAGAACACGTTGAACGCTTCACTTATTTGGGAAGTTGCATCAGCCAGCGCCAACAGGTCGATCGCTGACGAAATCTCAGAACGGATACAGAAGGCTAGTTTCGTATATGCCAGTTTACGCCGTCTCTGACGTAGACGTGATATCTGGTTATCGACCAAAGTGCGGATGTACTACTCAGTAATCCGCTCCCTCCTCCTCTATGGCTGGCCTGGCCATTAACAGTGGAAGATATGAGAAGACTAGCTATCTTTGATCATAAGTGTCTGTGTTCTATCTCCCATGTTAAGTGGTACAGAAGAGTAAGCAATACTGAGGTTAGGTGTCGAGAGTTACGTAAGGAGGGGAAATCAGTCGACGAGGTTGTGAGGTTAAACTGAACGACCGAGATGTTTAGGACGTGTGTTATGCATTGCTAGCCAATGATCACCTTCCTCAACGGGCAATGTTAGCTGACATCTGTCTGTCTGGATTCAACATAGAACTTGGCACCCAAGTGCAGCAGTTCGAGTTGCCACGTTCCAAATAGCACACAGAGGTAGACAAGAAGATGAGTGAAGAGAATTAATAGAGTTTGACAAATATAAGAGTGAAACAGAATGGGTAATGGTAGAAAGGAATATGAAAGATTACAGAGATTGAATACATCTGCGCCATTGACAACGATTTTGAGCCATGTCACCTATTGTCTCCAGCCATTGATTCCTAGAGTCGCGAGGGCCCCAACCCGGGAGTCTGCATCTCCCTACCTGACTCAGTTTAACTGTCAAGGATTTCATGGATTGATGCCATGTTTTTGTTTGGCCACCACTGGCTCTTTTCCAACCTGAACCTATATCAGCTAACAATGCCCGTCGGGGGAGGCGGTGGTTAGGCATGCGCACCACGTGACCTAGCCATCTTAGTCTATGTAACTTTATAACCTCGTCGATTGATTTTCCCTCTTTGCCCAACACTCTACGCCTAACGTCAACATTACTTACCTTGTGAAACCACCTAACGTGAGACAGAGATCGCAGACATCTATGATCGAAAGCAGTCAACCTTTTCATGTCTTCAACGCGTATTGGCCATGTTTCAGAGCCATAGAGAAGGACGGAGCGAACTGATGAGCAGTACACACGTCCCTTGGTTGATAACCGGATGTCACGCCTACGCCAGAGATGGTGTAAGTCAGCGAAAGCAGCTCGAGCTTTTCGGATCCGTGCTGAGATTTCATCGCCAATCAGTCCGTTGGTGCTGATACAACTTCCCAAGTAGGTGAAGTGGTCAACATGTTCTATCACTTCACTCCCTATCACTAAGTTAGGGGTTGACGTCGTCCAGTCCTGTAGCAGCATCTTACATTTTGCAGGGGCGAATCGCATGCCAAACATACGAAGATTGCTGCTCAAGGTGTTCAGAAGACTCTGCATTTTGTCAGCATCCTCCCCTAACAGGACTATGTCATCTGCATATTCTAAGTCCATTAGATTATTCCCTGGTAACAAGTCGATTCCTAAGTCACTACGTTCAGTTAAGGATACTTCCATTAGCATATCTATGATGAAGTTAAACAGAAATGGGGAAAGTGGACATCCCTGTCGGACACCACTGGTTGTTACTAATTCAGATGACAATTCCCCATAAGCCCTTACACGACTACGTGAGTTTGAATAGAGTGCCTTAATTAGTGCAATGTACTTTCTTGGCACTCCCTTCACAGTCAGACATTGCCATAGTACTTTTCGGTCCACGGAGTCGAAGGCCGCCTTCAAGTCAAGAAATATGACAATTGTTGGACGCCGAAAAGTGTGTCTATGTTCTAGAATCTGTCGAAGAGTGAAGATATGATCTATGCTGACATAGGGTCAGGTTGGAAAAGAGCTAGTGGTGGTCAAACCAATACATGTCTTCACCAGTGGATGAAATCCGTAACACTTAGTTTAAGCTTGTCACGTAGGAAGGTGTGGACTAGTTTCCTGGTTGGGGTCCTCGGATCGGTAAACACCAATGAAGTCTGGAGACAATTGGTTATATGGCTTAAAATCGTTCTCAATGGCGCGGATGCATCCACTCCTTGTGACTTATAATTTCCAATGAAACTATACTGTTCTTCAATCTTACTATTTATTTTGTCTTATATACATGTTTACTCTCTCTATTATACATTTCTTCCACTTTCTTCTCTTGCTTTGTGTGATACATGGAGTGGAGTGTGGCGACTTGAGCTGCCGCACATCGGTGCAAAGTTCTATTTCGAAAACAGACAGACAGACTTTTCAAAGTGACTACTGTGTTTACTATTATTCTCTTGACTTCTGAGTGGAACATGGGGATTCAACAGCACATCTCTATTTCACCCTATTTTCTTCAGTCCTCTCCACTTCAGGTGGTCCTGCGATCTACCATAAGCTTTCATCTCCTCCACGTCGCCCTTCTGACAAAGGCACAACTCTGTGTTTCCCACTCAAGTTTCACTCAAACGATGGCCTGACGCGAGATGTCACCTACCGGTTTCCTCAGTGTGTAACCAATCCCTCGCCATTTGCTTCCACATACTTGTTGAGCAGTACGTTACGGTTGGTCCGTTCCCATAGTTTCTTGTTTCCAATCATTTCTGGTATGTAATCTGAACATCAACATGGAGCCAACGAGGGCAGCTGTCGATAAAACTCCGTAGTAGACTGTTGGAAATGCTCTTTGTAACTCACTAGCCAAGTTTCTCACACTTATAGAAGAAGTGACCAACCTTAACATTGGTGTTGAATATCACAATTTTCTTCCTTATGCTGTTGAGTGCAGAAGATTTTCAAACTGATTTTACCAAAGTGATGAATGGCCTGTCTTGCCTTTCCAATTCTGCTTTTGTGATATACCTCATCCATGCTATGTGCGAGTAGCTGAAACGATGCTTCCTAGATACGGGAACGAAGTAACCTCTTTCATATTTACTCCGTTGATAATGATTTGCGCCTATTGGTTGTTTTCACCACCTCCGTCTTCTCTATGCTAACTTGGAGTCCTGGCTTTTGCTACCTGTCTCTGCTGCTAGTGTTGTTGTTGGTTTTCGCCAGTAAGTCTTCCAGTTTATGTGACATTAGACATAAATCATCTAGGAAATCCAGAGTTCAATTTATCCCTGTCTTCTCGACTTACAGGCCCAGTCTATCGTACAATCCAATCCACAATAATTAGGACTGTCATCGGTATAAGTATAAAACTTGGGCACTGTGGTAGAGTATAATTCCATTATAGATAAGATTTTATTTTGATAAATCGCACAGTGTTTACAGTTATATGAACTGATGACGTTTCGAGCACAAACTATTGCTCATAATCATATCAAGTTACTCACACAACTTTGATCTCTCATTTATATACATGTGTGGAATGGATTAGATATTGGATTAAAAATCAATGTGAGATAATGTACATTCAGAAATAATCGTACGAGTGTTGTTGATCAATTGCAATTAGATGGGAAAATTGGACGAGTGTTTTTACAGTCATAATAAGCTGCTTGTTAGAATGTGTTTGAATTGAAATAGAATTTTAAGATTATTTATTATCTTCTTCTGGTTTGACTGATGGCATTAATACGAGTGTTATTGATCTACTATAATCAGATGGAAGATACGACGAGTGTTTTAATAGTCATAATAAGTTTTTTGTTAGGATGTTGTGATGTGTTTGAATTGAAATAGAATTTTAATATTATTTATTACCCTCTTCTGATTTGACCTGCGGTAATAATATCTTCCATATCTCTGGTATTTGCATTGAGTCATTTTTGTTGCATGTGTTGGGTGTGGACTCGATAAATAAGGATTCCGTAATCAACCTCTCTCTCCACTTAGCTATATTACTTTTTAGAATTTTAACCCTATCCCACCCTATTGTGTGGTTGTTTGTTATTGCATGAAGTGCAATAGCTGAGCTTTTTTCTAAATTACTTATCTTTTTAGGGTCAACCATTCTTACCTTAGCTAAATTCTTATGTTCTGTTAATCTGACTATCCCTGACCTACTAGTTTGACCTATGTAGTTGACCTCACAGTTATTGCAGGGTATTTTGTAAATTATATTATTTTGTTTAATTGGATCCACCGGGTCTTTTAGCCTACAGAGCTTGTCTCTGAGTGAGTTTGTAGGTTTGAATGCCACCCTAATTCCTGCTTTATTAAGAATCCTACGTAGGGCCTCAGATGTGCTTTCCTTATATGGTATAACAGTGGATGACTTATATTCTTTCTTATTTGTGTTATCATTAATAGTTTCACCATTATTTTTATTTTGCTTTTGGTTTTTGGTGATCTTCCTAATGAATTTTATAGGATAGTTATTCAACACCAACGCTTCTTCTATCTGTTTTATTTCATCATTTAGGTCTTTTTTTGTGCTACTTAGTGCTATGGCTCGATTTGTTAGACACTTTACTAAGCCTGCCTTAACAGTTAACGGATGAGACGAATTAAAGTCTAAATATCTATTAGAATGCGTTGGTTTTCTATAAACACTAGTGTGTAGTTTGCCTTCTTCTATTCGTTTTATTTTACAATCTAACATAGCTAATTCTCCTAGTTCATTTTCTGATTCAAATGTGAATTTAATTCCTTCTACTTGTGAGTTTATATGTGTCAGGAAGCTAGAGATATGTTCTGTTTTTAACACCGTGAAAGTGTCATCCACATATCTCCACCATATTTTTGGAGTGGGGTTAAACGTATTAAGAGCACTACTTTCCCAGCTGTCCATAAATATGTCTGCTACAATAGGGGATATTGGTGATCCCATTGCTACACCTTCTGTTTGTTTATATATTTTGCCTTGGAACTTAAAGATGGTAGATGTGAGACATAACTGAATCCCTAACATAATTTGTTCAATGGGCAGCTTTGTCCTATGATTCAGTTCAGGATCCGCAGTTAGTTCTTTTTTAACTGCTTCTAAGGCCATAATGACTGGTATATTAGTGTAAAGACTAGTTATATCAAAACTAACCATTTTTTCATCATTCTCTAGTTGAATGTCATTTAGCTTACTTTTCATCTCATATGAATTAGTTAGTCTAGAGTTTGAGCGATTTCTAATGGGACAAAGTATTAGAGCTAAGTGTTTTGATAATTCATAAGTGGGAGTATTTCTAAAATCTACTATTGGTCTTATGGGGTAACCTGGTTTATGTATTTTAATAGTACCATATATTCTACTAGTATTATTAGTTTTAGGCATTAAAGTAAACCATTTAGACTCACCCAGTGACGGCTTCATTCTCCGTATTAATTCCGCTGTAGATTTCTTTACCTTATTCATTATTGTATCTACAGGCTTCTTAATTTCCTCATATGGACCCGTTTCAATATGTTCACTGACTTTCTTGATATAGTCAGATTTATTCAGAACTACGGTGGCGTTTCCTTTGTCCGCTTTTGCGATGACAATATTTTTATCCTGTTTTAGACTAATTAAAGCTTCCCTTTCTGATTTTGTTAAGTTTGATCTTGCCTTCTTTTGATTTTTCAGGGTTAACGCACATTGTGCTCTAACCTCTTCTGCTGTTGTCTTGTCTATTGAACCTAGTGCTGCTTCTATGTTAGGAATAACGTCCTCTGGTTTTAATTTATTAACTGTTACGTTAAAATTTAGTCCTTTCTCAAGTACTTTTATCTCACTAGAGCTTAGTTCTCTTGTCATCGGTGATATTAGGTTGGCAGTAGTAATGATTTCATTCGTAAGATATCGAATATACTGAAAATACACTGATTTGAGAATTTTGCTTCAACTTGAGAAAGTCGTATGAGTTTATTGATCAAAATATATTAGCACTAAACATATGCCTTACGTCAACTTTTCAACACCGTATATCAACCTGGATACGGTAACTTGGATTACTAAGGTATAATACAAGGTATCGCGCGTTGATCAGGGTGTGTCTCACTTTGAGTTACAACTAACATTAGAGATAAAAGAATGGAAAGTTTAGCAAAGATAAGTGTCTTTTCGCGATTTCATTCTCTAAAGCAGCTGTATAATCGCATGTATAGACATAAGTTCACATGGACACAATTCGTATTTTACTACACATTATAACGAAAGCGGGGGTTAAAGGTGATAATAATTTTCAACTTGACACAAAAGTTCGATGGTATGAATATAGATTTACAAGGCGCTTAGAAACGAAATTACGCCAGATTAGAAAATAGTTGGATTATATATGTCCAAACCAAGTTCACTTTTAACGGTTTGAAAAAATTTGGGCATTTGGTATATGATATTCATTATAATAAAGGTTTTTTGTATTTCCCAATGAATGAAAAAATAATATCGTTTTGTTTTTCATTCATTGGGAAATACAAAAAACCTTTACTATAATGAATAGTTGCATTATTTGTAAGACAACTTTTTAACGAATCTAGGTGTGAACGGGATGAGCACAGAAACAAATGACTGATTGAGTGACTGGTTTCAACGTAGAACTTTGTACAGATGTGCAGCAGTTCCAGTTGCCACACTCTCACTATGCAACACACAAACCACGAGAAGAGAGTACAGACAGATTCGAAAGAGAGATGATAAACAGAAATGAAGCAAAGAGAATAGTGATATGGAAGAACAATAGAGTTTTATTGGATGATATGACAAATCACAAAGGGTGAATACATTTGCGCCAGCCATTGAGATCGATTTTGTCTCCAGCCATTGGGTTTTACCATCCCGAGGACCCTACACTTCCCTACGCCGCTTAAACTCTCTGTTACGGATTTCATCCACTGGTGTAGACATGTATTCGTTTGACCACCACTAGCTCTTTTCCAACCCACTACTATGTCAGCTAACATTGCCAGTTGAGAAAGGTGGTGAATGGCTAGGAGTGCGTAACACATATCTTAACCAATCTCGGTCAATCAGTGTAACCTCACAACCTCGTCGACTGATTTGCCCTCCTTACATAAAACCCGACCAATCCCTAGCCTCATTATTGCTCGCCTTATTATACCACTTAACATGGGAGATAGAACACGAATACCTATGATCAAAAATAGCTAGCCTTTCCTCATCTTCCACTTCTAATGGCCATGTCTCTCTTACAGCCATAAAGGAGGACAGGACGAACTGGTGAGCAGTACAGACGTCCTTCGATCGATAGCCAGCCGGATACCTTATCTACGCCAGAGAAAGCGTAAGTTGTCAAATGCCAGAGAAGCTTCCTGTATCCGTACGGAGATTTAGTCAGAGATCAACCCGTTTGTTCCTGATGCAACTACTACTATCTTTAAGCCGACATTCGATGCAGTCCAATCCAGTCCAGTCCTGCAGCATCATCTTACATTTGACGGCAGAGAATCGCATGCCAAACATTTGAAGATTGCTGCTCCTCAAGGTGTTCAAAAGACCCCGCATTTTGTCAGCGTCTTCACCTAAGAGGGACGACTATATCATCTCCATATTCTAAGTCAACAAGACTACTATTGCATGATAACAAACCAATCTCTAAGTCGCTGGAGTCAGTTAGGGTTAAGTCCATTAGTACGCCTATGATGAAATTAAACAAAAATGGGACAGAAACAAACTGAAATGATATTTTTTGTAACTGACATTTAAAAAATGAAGAGAATGAAAAAAAGCCGAAAAAGAAAACCAAGGAGTCAAACCGAACTAGATCCATAGTAAATGTAGAGCTTGAACTAGTTTCTTTTGAACATACAGCTCCAACTTTTCGATACATATGGCAAAGGCTTTTCTAACACAAAAAAGCTGGAAAAAATAAAAACGTGTTCAATTATGGAGCTTTTGACTGAACCAGTACCTCCTCTTTGTAGTCAATGTAGCGCAATGTCCTCTAACACTTTTTGAAAGGACCCACACATGGAACGATCTATGCACCTAACTCCGCATGAGCAGGTGAACTGATATGTACACACTGGAGTAATTATATGAGAAAGTTTATCCTTCACATTGCTTAGAAGCAGTGAGTGTCTCGAGAATATCACTCTTAGTGTTCCTGTGGGAACGGTCTTCCTTAGGGGACTAGAAATTCTTCTCCTTAGGATATCTGCTACTAAATCTCCCTTTCTGTGGTACTGAAGCGCTTCCTTCTCTTTTTGGTTTTGGTTTAATGTTCTCCACGAAACGTGCTGGGCATCCATTTTGAGGCATATACCATAATGTTTCCAGAAACTAAATCAGGTGATCTCTGAGGTTCCACTCGGATAATAACACACTGACAGAACAATAATAATAATTATTATGATAATATGACGTCACTAGCTTCCACACCACAACTCCACTTCATATTCTAACTACTACTGCTTTTTGCCACCAGGCTTTGGGCTGACAATCCATAACGATGACTGTACACTTCAACTAAACAAAACATTCACCTGATGCTTACTGGGTTTTCAATAGCTATTTATAGTTACTATCAATCCAGCGAGATCAATTTCGATAAAATAAAAAAGAAGAATTCAACTAACCTTGATTGAGGTAAGTTAAAGATGCTTCACCGAGTCGAGTAACTGATGATGTTGGAGCCACTAAAATATTACCAAATAATTGTGGGCTTGTATCAGCATCACTGATGGATGCAAAGATATCAGCGCTTTAAAACAAAAAGAATTTAAAAATGAAGCAATAATTTATCCAAATAGTGTACATGTGTAAAATCCCTTTTAAATTGTTTTTATACATACGCGTCAGTCCCTTATGATAGTAGATTACACTGGATGACTGAGTGATTGGTTTCAACATAAAACTTTGCACACAAGTGCATCAGTTTGAGTTGCCACACTTTCCATGTAGCACACAAAGCCAAAGAAGAGAGGAAAGACAGATTCAAAGGAGAGATAAGAAACATAAGTGTGAGGGAAATAGAATGGTAATATATGAGAAAAACATGTAACCATAAATCTGATCGCATACTTTACGAAGTTCAAAAGTGACTGACTGAGTTTCCAACGTTAACCTTTGCACGGAAGTGCAACATTTCAGGTTGACGCACTTGATATAGCACACAAAAGCAAAGAAAAGAATTCAAAGGGATTATAATAAGTGGAGATGTACGGCAAAAAGAATAAGGATATGAAGCGACACGACAATCTAGCGGATTTCAGATATTACAAACATTGCATGCACGCGTGCCACTGAGAACGATTCTGAGCTGCATCACCAACAGTCTCCAGCTACTGGTTATTGGCATCTCGAGGAAGGATATATCGAGTGTGTATATTGTGCGTCGGTGACACAGTGGTTAGGACTCTCGCCGACCATGCACATGGTCCGGGGTTCGAGCCCACGCCGATGCACACCTGATATCTATGGTCGGACTGCGAAATTTGGGCTACCAATATCCACGCTGAAAATTCCATACTTGTACCGAAATTACGGTGTGGAATCAAGCTGTAATCAAAAATAAATAAAAAAAATTAAAACGTGCGAATAACTGGAATTTTATACGAATTAAGTAGATGATACTCTGCCTGTTGATAGAGATACAAATATTATTTTTCATTGCAACAACTATTGATCGATAATTATGTTCACACACGAGAAGAAACTCGATCCCATAAGCGATCTTGTTCGAATACACGACAGACACGATACAAAGATGAAAACGAATCAGTGGTTGCAGACAGTTACTGATATAGCTTAAAATCATTCCCAATGGGGTAAATAAATTCACTGACCTCATAAACGATCTGATGTGGCCGAGAGTGGGTAGACTGAGGGTTTCCTCTGAAGATAATCTGATTTAGCCACTCGTCTATAGCCTCTGGTCTGGAAGGAGGGAAAGGTGCCTACTGACTGGAAGAAAGATTACCTTATGAAACTACCAAAGAAGGGCGACTTAGGACTCTGCAAGAACTGGCGAGGAATCATGCTCCTGTCGACGCCAAGTAAAATCCTGAGTCGCATCATCCTGGAGAGAATAAAAGACGCACTGGATACAGAACTCCGACCAGGACAAGCTGGATTCAGGAAAGGCAAATCATGTTCTGACCGAATTGCAACTCTACGCATCATCATCACAGAACAAAGCATGGAATGGCAATCAAGCCTCTACCTCAGCTTTATAGACTTCGAGAAGGCCTTCTACAACGTTGACTGTGAAGTATTTTAGGAACTACTCGAGTACTATGGCGTACCCCAAATATTCATCAACCTCATTCAACAGCTGTACGACAACGGGACATACCAAGTGATCCACAACGGAAAACTCAGTGAGGCGTTTGGAGTAAACACAGGAGTCAGACAAGGGTGCTTACTATCACCAATGATATTCCTAATTGTGGTGGACTGGTTTATGCATCGAACAGTGGGAAACGAGAAGACAGGGATATCCTGGACCGACGTGAAGAACCTAGAAGACCTGGAATTCGCGCGTGGATGATTTATGCTTGATGTCACATTAAATCGAGCTTACAAGCGAAAACTGGCAAACTGGTCGAAGAAACAACCGGCGAAGACAGGACTTCAAGTGAACATAGACAAGACGGAGGTTATGAAAATAACCAATCAAACAACAACAACAGCAACATTCAATGCCAATCACCATCAACGAGAGGGATTTGAAAGAGGCTACTTCATTCACCTATCTAGCATCGAGCATTGTCTCAACTACATGATGTCAAATCGAGAATCGGGAAGGCGAGAAACACAAACTGGAAATCTTCGTCACTCAGCATCAACAACAAAATTCGGATTTTCAATACAAACCTCAAGTCAGTTCTCCTATACGGATCAGAAACTTGGCCGGTCACAAAGAATATTTCCAACAGTCTGTTGCAGATGTTTATCAACAAATGTCTTCGCTGGATCTATACTGAAGATCAGATGACCGGTCCGGAAAGAATCACCAACAAGAAACTATGGGAAGAAACAAAACAAGAACCAATCGCCAACCAACAAATATGCAGGAGAAAGTGGAGATGGATTGGACACTCGTTGAGGAGGCCGGTTGGTGACATCGCGCGTCAGGACATTGCTCGAGTGGAACCTGAAAGGGAAGCGGCGAGTGGGACATCAAAGGGTGACATGGAGGAGATCGTGTGAAGAGGAGTTGAAACAGTATGGATTAACATGGATGAAGGTGAAAAGCACAACAGAAGACAGAAGCAAATGGAGACGTGCAGTTGGAGCCCTATGTTCCACTAGGAACCCAAGGGAAAAATAATAATTATTATTATAACCTCTATCATGTAAGCCCTATCCCTTGCCTTTGTTCGGCAGGACTTGGGTGTTCCTCACAAAAGTGAGAGGAGAGTGAGAAAGCCAGACACCTACAACCGGATTGGGGGACATACAGGTCTACCTAGGGCAGCTGCAGAACCCTGATTTTCAAATTCATGGTCCACATAGGCTCCAAAAGCCAGAGGGATCGAATCGCATATGAACCTGGCTTGGTCACCAGCAACCATGGGAAGGCAGCTCAACTGCCTTGTCGGTCAGACTTAAAGTCAAAGGCTTGGGGAGCAGGCTGACCCCTTCACACAACCCCTTCTTTCTCTCATAGGCTGCCGTCGAACATAGTTTCATCATATTTCCTCTTAAGTCTATGTAACATAACCATGATGAACTTCACTGGACGGTACTAGAAATATAGTTCATTTGGCACAGTAGTTATATAAAATCACCATTAAAGCTATCGATGTAACTTACACAGTCTGTGCAGAATTACTGGTAAACATAGTGAACTTTGATTGATTTCCATATTTAGAATCGTCTGAAATTTTACTTTCCTCCTTGCACAGTGGTAATGCCGATAATGCATCACTAAATGAAAACGAAGTAAAAATAAGGGCAAAAATTAAAAACGTCTACACTTACTGCTATCGATTAAACGCGTAAACATAGTGTAGAACCTATACAACTCACTCATCCTAACAGAGGTCTGCTAAGACTAGTCCGTAAGTCTTATTTAATAGAATGTTCCTTTTTCATAAGAATCTTTGAACAATAAGACTCAGTTCCCGGTTTGTCGGTTACTTCCAAAAGAGGTGATTACACTATCCCTTGAAACATCTTATGCATTTCTTTAGGATCAGTAGAACTGGAAATAAGTACTCAAGAGAGATATCCTCCAAAGTAAACTACGAGCAAGCACACCCACAGAGGAACTAAATCAAGCATTTTCTTAGTTCATTTTACAAAATTGGGAAAGGCAGAGAAAAGACCAGACTCTCTCTCTCTTTCTATTTCTCTCTCTCTCTCTCTCTCTCTCTCTATATACATATATATATATATATATATATATATATATATATATATAATTCTAACCCAGTAACAATCAACATAACTGGGTTTACTGTTTCTGCAGCAATATTTTGTTTGATGGTTGGCTAGTGTTTGAACACAGCAAGAAAATATTGCACTTTGTCTAAGTTTATCAAAAGGAAATAACTGTATGAAATTGGCTAGCACGTGGCCGTATTTTTGCCCTCTTGCTAATATCTTGGATAGTCAACCATGCTTAGTGTACAATGGACTAGGCTGCCGAAATAAGGTAACAAAAAACTGTGTAGAGGCTAAAGTTATTACATGAAATGTGATAACACTGCCTGGTTCTCTGTGCGGAAAGACAAACATTCTACCATTAAGATGCAATTAGTTGCTCAAAAACTGTTTTAACCCGACATTCAACGTGAGTAGTTGTTAAAAATGATTAAAAACTGACGCTTTGAAGACAAACAACATTTACCAGATAGAATGGTAGGATGCAATTAAACTTCTGAATTAGTCTTATATAATGAGTAATGAGATTTATTAAGGCATTGTAGGTCTGAAGTAAGAGCTACAGGCATGCTTTCCATTAATTCCGCCAAGTTTATATGATAACCTCCCCCAAGAGAACTTGAACTGCAGGATTTTTGAAGCCTGCCTAAATACAACACCTAGATAGGTTGGTTAAGTGGATGGATGGACTGCAAGCAGATATGAAGAGCTCTACACAATCGAGAAAAAAACGAATGAAAACTATGTGACTTAAGTTTCGCATAGACATTTCATAGGAATTAATTGAAAATCAACTCCGAAAATTGTTGCACTTGCCCAAAAAACGCTCCCAGTTGTGATTCAAGTGTTTCTCACTACTTACCGCATATTAAACATCGAGTTGACGCCCACTCCAATGCCATTCATCGTATCATCGAAACATGCTGATAAATCAGCCTCATCAAAACTCCATGAAGAGTTCTCAGCCATCGCAAATGCTACGGTAGTTCTGCAAACGAAAACATTGGAGTTCTAGGACCGCAACTGTCAAGAAAACCAGTACAATAACCTTCAAAGTTGATTCACCCGCAATGCTGAGAGCTTCGATGTAACCTTCTTAACGATGAATTCTAAGAGGAATTATAACATAAATCTATGTATAGTAGCTTGGCATTTAGAAAAGTTTAAGTTTAACAGAAAGGAAAGCTGTGTAGAAGAAAGCAGTGTCCTCAAAGTATAAATAATCAAGTGAACGGCAGCAAAAGGGACCAATAACAACCAAAATCTTGAGCCCAAAATGAAGGACATAATTTGAAAAGTCTTCTCCCCATAAACTAAAGAAACTGGTTAAAGATAGTTATACAAAGTAGGAATCTCTTGTATGTGCCAAGAATTTCGACCAGTTTTTAGTGTTAATCCAAACCAATTCGGGTCAATGAATTCATCGAGATAACTGTATTTTAAATTCAGTCAAGCAGTGGCAACTGCCCGTAACCACTCCATAGTTATTGATAGAAGATGTCTACATCCGTAAAATCGATATTGAGACGGTACTGCAATTCTAGATCTGTCTCAAATATGCAATCTGACTCCCTTATATCATCTACACTTGCAAGTTTTCCCAGTAGCCTCATCTTGTTCATTGTTCAGGGCATGTTGTTGGTCGTTCGCTTGGGTCACTATACTTCACCCTAACCTGCCTTTTCACTTCGAAAAAAGACTCAGTATTCAATTCTGTGACGGAAAAGGAACGACAACCTCTGTTGCTTGATATTTATATGAAAATAAATTATTATTATTATAAGAAATGAAGGATAAGATCTACAGCCTCGCGAAATCTAATTTTGGAACCGTGCTGAATTTATATTCTTGCCAAGTTGGTATTCTGCTCTCATTTTCTGCCTGGGTGTCAGTTTACTGCTGCCAGGAGAGCGAACTCACCAATGACCCTCAAGCGGACAGTGACATTAGCTCGACACCATTGAAAATTCTGCATATCTTGTAAACATTGCTCAAAATAAGGCTTTTATTATCATGAGTGTGAGAAATTATGTGGAAACCAAACTGCGATAAGACATATCATTATAAAAAATATCTTTATACATGGTCCAGCATATAGGAAACATCCCTCTGAATGAGCCCTCCGTGAATGATGTACTGAGGTGCTACTCTCCCGCAAAATATCCAGTTCTGTCAAATTAAAACCTTATTTTCTTGGCTGATGCTGAAAATTAATTACAATCACAGATTGACACTAACTAGAGAGCCACTGAAAACCGAACTCCTGTTTTGACCTAGCACGGGATTCTTTCGAGGATCGAATCCAAGATCCTCATGTTGAGAAATAAGCATGAGTCCAGTGCATGAACCGTGCATTTTCGCGCATAGTTATAATATGGAACTCAAGCATTACTAGACTCCAATCCACTGCCTTAACTGCTAACGATTTTCTCCCATAAACCAACATTCTCAGGTTTGATTCTGTCGGCTCACGCTATTCAAGAGTTCAAGGTTTGGGTGAATTCCCTGCCCAACGCTTCCTGATTTGTAATGGTTCTCGTCTATGAATCTGGTTAGTTACACGCCTCGAACGAGTCCAAGGTCGTTTCCGGTCGGCCTCACCTAGAAGTAACGCTCATGGTTACTGTGAGGCTGTCACTGCGCTTAGGTCTGCTGACTCTTTAAACCAGTGACCGGGCTGTTCTCTTAACAGCCCTGTCTGGTAAAGGCAGGGTGGTGACTGCTACTAGAAGAATCTGATGATGGGGATATGTGGGAACCATCCTCATTTGTGGAACAGCACTCTAATCCTAAGGGCCTACTGATCAGCTATCGCCACTAGTCAGAGTAAAGGTATAAAACCTTTAGGGATTCATGAGGAAAAATCCAAGTCGTCTACTGCTGTTATCAAAGAGTTTGAAAATGATGAAGTCGATCATACAATCGGCGGTAAAATGGATATTTGTGACAATGGCCATGATAGAGCACTTCTGTTTTTGGCTAATCATGTTGAGATGAACGGAGCTCCTAATACTGCTAAGCTGAACAAAGGTTCTGTACGACTTGAACGTGAAGTAGAATTAAGAGCAGATGCGGTGGTAGAAGGTATGGATACTCATGAGATCAGTGATCAGCGTGTAGCCCACCTATCAACGAATGTCAATGTTAAACTGCAGCTAATCATAAAAGATAGCAGTGGCGGTAATCCCACGCTTAGACAAACTTCCAGAGGTTGAAAAACAACAGCTTCTGATGCACCGCTAACTTCACTAACTTGTATCACTCAGTCGTCGTTGGTGTTGTCAGCCACAATGAAAGTGACGTTCATGAAATCATGTGTCTTATCCTATGACTATGCTACTGCCGGTCTGTTTGAAAAGACGAATGTCAATGGTCACTTTAGTGGTGATAAGATAACTGTGTATGAGAGTGTAATTATTAAATTGACTTGCATGAATAAAGGTTTTTCAAGTTTCAAATTATTATATGAATGTTATTATCTTTGGTGTAAATTACTCTGTACCTACGCTTGGTTGGTCAGATACGTCGTGTGTTTGTTAGTCATCTATATTCTACGGTACAATGACATGGGCGTGTTACCACTCAGATTTGAGGATATAGATGATAGAAGGAAGTCAGCAAATAAACTCTTCGACGATTTTCCAACCTAGAGCGTCAACCTGAGAAGGCTTGTAGGCGCGCTGGTGTAAGTCCTGCGATTGTGTTGCAAGATGTCAAGAGAATGCCTTTATCTGGAAGGCGTAGGTCGTCATCGATGAGTGAGATTGTGCTGTGGGTATGTCTGTGGTGTGTTGGCTTTTCTGTTTGTTTTCCATTTCAGCTTTGTCTGTGTGACCCAGGTTCTCGCACTGGCATCCAAGTCAAGTGTATTGGTCGTGATGAAAAAAGGGATGGATCCCTCTTTTGCTGGGGAGTGTCAATGTAGCTGAAGATTGAACGATCAATTCGTGGTTGTTTGCTCAAACCCAACTTCCCCATAATTTTTGCGGGTGATCAATCCAGGAGTCATCGTCTCATCGTTCGCTGTTCAGTGGAAGACAGAAAACTATGAGAAGTACTATTGTGATTTATTCTTATAGCATTTATTCTTAGACCTTGTGTGTTATAACATTGACCATTTACAATGACAAATGATCTGCAAACATTATTGGTCCCGTATCTTTCAGTTGCGTAGTTAATAACGAATTAACTTTCCCCATGACGCAACCTGGATTACATTTGTGGAATATACTCTTATACCAATGGGAAAGTATTAATTTGTATTACAACGTCACCATTGTAACCTATAACATAACTGATCGTATCTGTAAAAATAGCTTTCGTATTACCCAATTTGGATATAAATCAAAAATGAGATTCGGATTTGTACACACCTAAGTTATATTGGGGAATTACTTCAAGCTTTATTTTTTCTCAAGTATTTGTAATCCATCCAAAACATACTTGGGTTTTTCTGTTGACGCGAAGACAATACTTCTTTATTTCTTGATGTGCTCCATTGAATGACCAGTTTTCATATTGTTCTCACAAACCAAGGACAAAAACGTCAGCAACCATGTAATTTAACCATAAACCAAATTTATGAAATTTAAATAATGCTTATTCATGCCTGTACATTTGGTGTGTCCTACACAGGTAGGAAAAAATATGTATTTTATTAAAACATTGTTGTTAAGCATGATTGCTAATCGTATATGTAATTTATTATATTGATGATGCCTGTAAACTGGCGTCCCTCATGTACAAAATGAGAATATATTATTATTATTGTTGGTTACATATTGGCGTAATGACAAAGGATTCTCGAGTCGCCAACCTGTGTTGTGGTTTTCCGCTTTGGCTATTACAAATTGTCTCTGAAAGTCTTCCAGGGACAGCGTGAGGTCCAACGTTTTAAGAGCTGGATATTGACAGTTTCTGAGAGTTGGCTGACAGACCCTATGTTAAGAGGAGGTTCGACATCATGCTCAACTATGTCTATCGAGTAGGTGTGTGCTGTTTTAGGAGTTGAAGTATTGGATTTGCCATAGGTTAAGACACTTTTATTTTTAGTTAGGCTAGAAAAGTGGGTAGGGTTCTTCGTTTGACATATACCTGTGCAAGTGTCAAGTGTGCTTAATGGATGCGGGTGCACTAGACTGTTCCTGTTTTCATGCAAGTGGGGAGCCAACACTAGTGGTTTAGGAGTGTTAACATCCCTACCAGCTGTTTTTTCAACGCTGATGGGGACACAGGTGATAAAAAAATGATTGGATCCTTGTGATGACCATGGCTTATTATTCCACCTATTGTTTGATACTAGTTGTGTCCTTGTGTGGGTCTCGTGTGTACTGCATTGTGGGTTAGTTCCCAGCAGACTTGTACCATATATCCGGTCGAAATTTGTTTGTGTTCCATAGTCTGAAGACCGTGAGTTGTTGGTAGCCGAGTTCTGAATATTACCACTTGTACTATTGAGGGTGGCATTGTTGTGACATTGGATAATAGTATGTGCCATTGTGCGACTTCGCACGTTTTGAGTGTTAATACTATTAACCGCGGGAAGTGTGGGCTTATTTATGCTGCCATTGTTTTTGTTGGCATGATTTGGGGTTAACTAACTCCAAATCAACATATCCAAAAATAATACACCTTGGCGGCATTACTCACGAAAGTGCTGAGGATATATGTGAGGTGTTTAGCACGCGCTTTGCCAAACTGTACACTCTAGAAAATGACCAGGATATAGATTTCCCTCGTAAAACAGAAAAGTGTTTAGGCGATGTAGTGTTAAACGCCCAAGAAATCGATAAAGCTATCACAACTCTTAAGCTTACTAATACTCCCCGCCCAGATGGAATGTCTTCCGTCCTCTTAAAAAATGGTGGAAATGACATGAATCTACTTCTTCTCAAGATATTTTCAACTTCAATAAGGAGTGGAATATATCCAAATAGCTGGAAGATATCCTACGTTGTACCCATCAACAAAACCGGACCTACAGCGGACATAGATAATTACCGCCCGATCAACATTACTTCCGTAGTTTCACGTGTGATGGAAAAGATTGTAAAGAAGCAAATTGTTCAGTATTTGCTCTCGAATGACTTAATATCCCCTTTCCAATACGGTTTCCTAAATAGAAGATCGTGCATTACGTGCCAGTTAGATTATTTCGACCACATTACTGAATGTGTAGACAAAGGTCGTTCGGCAGCAACATTATTTCTAGATGTTAGGAAAGCTTTTGATAAAGTCCCACATAAAAGACTCATACTGAAACTCCTATCTTATGGAATAAGTGGAAGGCTTCTTGAGTGGATAACTTCCTTTCTTACAGGAAGAGAACAGTTGGTTAAAGTCAACCATCACTTATCAACAGCCAAACCGATAACCAGCGGCGTGATACAAGGTAGTGTTCTTGGCCCTACCCTATTCATTGTATTCATAAATGATATTGTCTCTATGATCAAGTATGGCAAGCCATACCT